TTCCACCCCAAACCCTATTTTTATCCCACCCCCAACCTTGGCTTAATGCTTTTAAGTGCAACCAAATCATCATGCCGGCTTGATAAGCCAATAACGGGGGCTTTCTTCGGATTGATTAAACCCCTAGGTGAACTATCTCTGGTTTTCACTGGGTCTTAATCTGTGTTGCTCGGCCGCCTGGGCGTTTTCAAGGCCCCCTCGACGGGAAAAGGCTTCCTACCGGATTTTTTGGAACCTTGAACATTTTTTTTTTTTAAGTTGCTACACAAATTGAAAAAAATAATGAAAAAAAAGTAGGATTTAGAAGGATTCCACTCGAGGGTTAATTCCATCATAATGCTATTGTTTTTTCAACTTCAATGGATATACCTCAAAGTATCACGCTTTTTACAAAGGTTATCAGATGCTTAATTTTTTACTGCACACAATTAGAGCTATGACACTAAACTATTCCCTAGGTACCAACTGTAAAAAGATCTCGAGAAGTATAAAAGCAAGAATTTAAAGTACGCATTAAAAAAAATATTTCATTAAGCTGAAATATACATAAAATTAGGATGACAATACCTAAAGGGGAATAAAATTCAGTAATGATAACTTCATTCCAAAATATCTGATTGTGTTTCATTTTTCCCAGTTTACTTTGACACGGGAATTTACTTATCATATTATAAAAAATTGTACCTTTACATTTTTCAAAATATTCTCGTTCTCCCTATCTCTCTTTTTAATGATAAAAAAAAGATACAAAAAACAAGTAAAATAAATACCTCATTAAAAGTGTCGTGATCACCTAGAAGTAACATCTTTTTTTTTGGATGATGTCTTTTTTTTAAGCTTCAATTCTTTGATTCGATAGTCCAGAGCTTCAAAGTGTTATCCAAAGAAGCTGTAAGCATTTTATTGCCCTTAATATCGATATGATAGACCGTATTAAGATGACCCGTAACTGTTGCGACATGCTCACCATTGTCAACACGCCACGCCTTGACTACACAGTCCCGCGCACATGAAAATAAATATTTGTCATCCTCAGAAAAGATGGCATGGTGAATCGGAGCCTTGTGGGCGGCAAAGGTGCGAACGCAGGACCCCGTACCGGAGACCCACAATTTCAGCTCGTGGTCCATGGAAGTGCTAACGATGTAGGCATCGCTATTGGAGAATCTCACCGACCACACCGTTCCAACATGTCCAACGAGAGTTCGAACTTCCTTGCGTTCCTCCCAATCCCAAATTTTCACCAAATGATCATCGCTACCCGAAACTACATACTTGCCGATGCCAGTATTGTTGAAGGCGCATGAAAACACCGATAGTGAGTGCCCCTTCAACACGGCGATTTTCGAAGCAGAATCCACACGCCACACACGAACAGTGTTATCACAACTTCCAGATACAATGTATTCACCTGTTGGGTTGAACTGGACACAATACACTTTATCTTCGTGCCCTTTTAGAGTGCTCAACTTAGAATTCGATTTTGTGTTCCACAGCTTGATTGAGCGATCGTCGGCAGAGGACACCACGAGATTCCCCTTTGGTGAATAATTGCAGGAAAGAACGTAGCCGTTGTGGCCACCTTTCATCACGGTGTTTTTCTTATCGCTCATGTTCCACACACGGACAGAGCGGTCTCGGCTGCAGGATACAAACTTCCCGCCGTCTGGAGAAAAGCTACAGCAGTAAACCGCGAGAGTGTGCCCTGTGAAAGTGCTCACATTTTGGATGCTGAGCTCGCCGTTAGAGAACTCGGGTTCCGAGCTGGATGAAAATGCTGCATTCGATGACATTGGCATCTCCTTGGAGCACAAGTCGCTGTTTCGGCGCTGAAGTTGTTTGGAAACGATCAGATTGAGCTTACTTCCATTCATATGCATTTCCAAAAACATGGACAACACGTCGTCATCATCAAGAATAATCAAGTCGTCACCCTCCATAAAAGAAAGGGACACTTTGTAGCCGAATTTCTTTTCTACAATGCTGCTAAATTCCTCAAATGGCATATCAGGGGTGATATAGACGAGTTTCTTCATGGAGGTGTCAGACTCTTGACAGTATACCGGAAATTTCCCTGCATTTCGTGACATGGCAGGATAGTCGATGTCGCCGTGCTCACCCCCAAGTTGCGGGTCATTTGAAATGAGGTTGGAAACGTTGCTCGGCGGCTCCTGAAGCACCTGTTTGATGAAATTGTTAAGGTCCTCCTTTTCTTTTAATGACATGCCAACCAATTCCTCAATCGCATAGTATCCACTGGATAAATTTTCCTTGGTGTCTGAAGGTGGCACTTCAGATTTATTAAGGGAGGTATTCTGTGCCTGACGAGATTGGATGCGCTCGGTTATCATACCCCAGATCTGCTCATCCGTCCAATCTTCCCCGTCCTTGATATTCTGGCGAAACGCTTCTACCGCCGCTGTCGGGTTTATATCGTTTTGCTTTGCAAGAAGTTGAATGAGGGCGTTACGCTTGCCACTGAGTAAGCCCTCATAGGAGAATGCTTTCCCTTTATAGTTGAGTGTGATCTGCATTTTACCACCCTCTTTCATAGTAGGGTTGCTTTTACTCAAACCGGCGCTGCCCTCAGAAGGTTTTCCCTTTTTCTTTAGGCGCGCCTGAACGGCAGATTTGTAAAGATCCTTGATCTGCTCATCGGTGTACTTTCGCTCGTCCTTGATATTCTCGCGAAAGGTTGGAATCACAATGTCGTCATTTACCCCCATCTTTGCCAGAATATCCATCAAATCCTTGACGCGAGTTTCAGGTTTACCTTCGTAGACAACATTCTTACCTGATATCTTAAACTTCAATTTCTCCTTCGTCATTTTACGCGTGCTTAACCAGATTGTGTGTAATACTTGAACAATGCGAAATATGCTATTTACCTATATATAAAAGTAAATAATTATCTATCTATCTATATATGTATATATATATATATATAGATGTATATATCTCTCTCTCTATATATATCTATTTATAGTTAGATAAATCTAGATATATATAAGTATGTATATGTCTTTACGAAAACCAAAATGCTAAGTGGAGACTACAAATGGTTTAGGCATAGTAAAAAATAGGAGTCCGACATGCTGCATCAAATAATTTTAATTTTGAAATTGTCGGTTTCCAACATTGTTGAATGAAGGGAAGGTAGCCCGCTGCTGCTCTCATTCCAATAAAATCGAGTTCATGTTCATGGATAAGTTTTTACGCCATTCCTCGGTAAGTACGCGACAAGTAGGTAAAGTAAAGTGCAACTTTTGACTTGTGCCGCTTGGCAAGGTCCTGTGAAAATACAATAATACTAAAAAGGCAAACCCTCAGTTGGCATCAAAGTTACTGTCCGCGGTGATATCCAAAAGCACTTGTAGCATTGTAGGACTCTTGAAATCCCCATTATACTGCAGCAATTCATGACGGCTTACCCAAGCGTGGTCTCTAATAGGTGGATTCATGTCCTGAAACCTCGGCCGCCCTGTCAGGTAAGTTCCGGAAAAAATAAAGAGATGAGAGTCCTCCTCCTCCTCAATGCGCAGGGTAGCTTGTGGGGCGTTGGACCAAAAGTAGCACGTCAAGCCATCCCCATGGTCCGATGACACCGCACGATCCGCGGTCATACGCAGTGACTCGTTAGATTGACGCTCAGTGTTTGGCACGGTCCACTTGCCCGTGGAAGACTCTTGAACAATAAGGTAAAGGTAATCGTCGAGTTTGCGATAGAGCGTGTGTCTAGGGGGTGGTGCGGCGGCGTCACACGTGGCCGGATCCCACAGGTCAGCGGCTGTGACGCGCTTTTCAGGGCTGTAACGTTGTAGGACTGCCTTCATGGCATCTTGGTAGAGCTCTAGCCCAAAAAAATTTGCCTTTATTTGATTGGGGTCATTGCGGTTGAGGATGTCTATGCTTTGCCCACGACTTGCCATAAAATGCGTCGCCGACTCTGATTCTTCGTGTCGACTGTATCGCGTATGTTCGTGTTCCAACAGAAAGCTCATTTCAATTTCCAACGGATGTAGCGTACACTTGACAATTTGATTACGCTGAAGAAGATACCCCACTTGCACTCGAGCAAGGGGCTTCGGGTCATTTACATGGATCTGGGGAATGATCGGAGTACGGTGCTGGGAATTTAAGTTTCTCATAGAAACACCGCAGCAGAGGCGAAGTTGCCCACGATAAACTCGCATCGCAGTGAATCGTACGTGATAATCGTAATTGAAACTACTGCTTCAGTAGTTTTGAAGCACGGAGCCTCTTGTTTTATTTCCTATCCTTCACAAACATAAAAAGGGAATAAGATGGGAACTTTGATACGAAGGAACCGTGAATAAGAACCAGAACGCGTCAAATCAAAAGGACTATGGTTGCCATTGCTCATAGTGTTTCATTGAAAGACGAAAACGGTATCTGTATTTTGCATACGGCCAGACATGGAGCAAGATAAACAGACCACTGTCTATTCAACGCCTCAGGCCCTGCTATTGAATTCAGCTGTTTCATCAAAAAAAAATGATTTAAGCCGTCCAAGTTATCTTTTTAATTGATCCATGCAATTCTACAGCATAGCTAGACCTACCTGCAAATGGGCTTTTTTGCGCGATACACTTACGATTAATCTAGAAAATATGTAACCAATGATGTATGTGGGGATCCTCATCCTTGAAGTTTATACAGAGTAATGTTTCCATTAATATCTTCTAATTCTTTAGTCCATTGTAAAGATAGCGTTCGCCAACATTACCCCTTGCTTATCTGTGAAAAAGCCTCTGATGTAAAATTATATTCATTAATAACGAAGTGACACTACTGCCTTAATGCCGATAATGACCAAGGATTCTCGCCATATTGTCGGTCCCTTCCAGGGGAGCAAAGTAGGACTACTATCACCATTGTTTTCAGTGGCTTGGTAAATTTGAAAAATCTGAGCAACGTTCATCAATACAAGTCAACCGCTAACGTGACAACCTTTCGTATCGTTGGCACGCATTAGACCATCCACACTTAACAAGCGAGGTTCACCATTGAATCCAATATTATTGGCAAATGTGTTAATCGACACATATTCGCCCTTTGATTTAAATAGAAACAACAAGTAGAACTACATCATGGTAAGGACACGCTAAAATAAAGGTAGAATTCTCACTAAAGCAAAGAATGCAAAAGTAGATGCTGCAGGTTATTTCACTTTCCTACGCGTGTCATAGATGAGTTTGATTTTTTTTTTTTAATACTCTAAGCAACTATATAATGTTAGACACATATTGCTTAATTCGTGTCTTTTTATGTTTAGTTTCAAAATTGAAAAGAAAAAAAGAAACGCAAATGATATAAAGTCATTTTTCAAGTGAATGAGTAACAGGAATTAGAGGGCGACCTTGTAAGAGCCAAATTACTGTTCGAAACACATCAATGGGTAAAAAATATGTTTAAGGGTTTTGAAATTGAATCTAATGAAACTCGTGAAGCACTGTCAGTAGGAATAAAACTCGAAACCAAAGAAAGGTCGAATAACATTTACCTGAATGAAACATCTTGATCAAGGCATTAAAAAACTTAAACCATTGGTGTCATGATGTTAGTGCTTAGCCCTAGTAAAGGATCTCGGTATACGGGATCAGATTAAATAGCTTTCTCCTCCTTCCGTTAAACTAAGGTTATCTAATTCGCACCTTTAATGGTGCAAATGATTGCTGAAATATTCGAAAGTGGAGAAACATGGAATTTTGAGTTTTTGCGGACGACGTTAGACTTACCTCCTCACCCGTGTCAGTTTTGAGAAATGGGAATTAATGATCGATAGAACTCGTATCAACACGCCACTATAATCAGCTTTTTGGAGGATTTATAGATCACCAGGTTGAGATTTATTTGGAAAAGACTAAGTATGGCGCATGAAGGCACAATGCAAGAGGTGCAACAGGGGATTGTAAATAAATGCCAAAGAACACAAAATCACAGTCTATGTGAATATCTTAGAGTTGCTATTTTCCACTACCAAGATAAAAAGAGATTTGGTATTAATGAAGGCAGTAAGATGCCCATAAAAGGGGCACAGAGGGTAGCTTCAGATGCTACTTGTAAGGTCGGAAGTCGTGTCTAGGTCTAGAGGAAGAGTCAAGTGCATTGATATTGTTTGGATTGTGGCATCGGACATTACAGAAGAGCACACATGAAAATAGAATCCACTTTTCTGAAGCTTTAGCTGACGTTGAAATGAGAAAGAAAGAGCAATGATATTTGATCGAATTTGAATAAATAAATAATAATAAATATACATTGTTTCAGATTGAAATATCATCGCGAAATTGAATATAGAAAAGGGGAAGCCTCATCAATCGAATACGTACACACACAGAGACCCAATATATAGAGAGAAATAGATATCATATCCAGAAGATAATGTTCAAGCAAAAATTTTTACATAGCTACCCAATGATTGTTAAAAATTAAAGCGGCACAAGAAAGCGCGACTTTTTTTTTGAGCACCCTTTTGCGCCTCCAAATTTATTTTTGGTGGTATTAAACTGAACCGCAGGGAGGCCAGTTAACGTCCCCTCAGTGTCAGTGTATTTCTTATCTAAACTTTCGATCTGATCGATTACATACTTCCGCAATGATGCCGGCTCTACACGAGTAGTAATCGCATAGCAAAGAGAGCGCCAATCCATGGTTTCTGTAGCCGCCTTCTGAAAAGACCGACAAAGGGCTGAAGTATTCCTTTCGGCTTCAACGCGGAAGCCTTCGGTAAACTGGACCAGTGACCTTTCCTGCGCCCATTGGCGTTCCTTTTCATGAAATTTTTGAACTACCTCCTGCTCACGCAACAACGTATTTTTCATGTTGTTGAACACATCCAAAGTGCTACTCAGTTCACTGGCTAGATCAGTGTTTGCTTTTGAGAGATATTTTACCTGCTGCTTCAACTGGACATTCTCTTCAAACAATCTTCGACGTAAGTTTTGTGTTACTACAAATTCCACGGAGGAGTTAGTTGCGGTGTTGTTCTTTGGTGTAGTCTTGGGATCCGTTTTGCCCTCTAATTTGTGAATGTGTGCCTTTAGAGAAGCTATAATTTCATGCAAGTTCTGTATTATAAGTTGCTGCTCATTAATAGTTTCAATACTCAACATGTGTGGTATAGGTTGTTCCACTTCGAATGTTCCATTGAGATCCATGGAGACTAGTCTAACACAGCGAAGAACACTTCGACTTATAGTCTATTCTTAGATATCTTTATCAAAAGGAATAAATGGATGTGAGATAGTGAACATGTGTATGCTTTCAACCTGAAAAGGGGAAATATTACATTATCGCTGTCAAGATCAGACCATGACTTCTGATCATTTAAATAAAAAATGTAATCATCCCTGAAAAGGATAATATATCAACTTCTTCTCGAAAAAACATCACTTTTTCCCTCAAAGTTATATAAATGAA